AACCTACATTTGATTGACATACATGTTCAAAATTTGAAAATTTGCCTTTGAAAAAGCTTCTTGCTCAAAAGGCAAAGTAATCAGTATTTGCAGTAATTATATTCCGCGATGAAAGCTATCTCTCAAACACTTCTCGTAACTCGATGCATTCAACGCGGAGTCCAATAGGACTCATATCGGTGCCACTTCGATGGCTCGGCTCAAAAAATGGGCAATTTGAAAAATCCCTTTTCAAAAATCTACTCTTAATCTTCCAACTCGAAAAATGTATCTATTTGCAACCTCACGTAGAAAATACATACTTATAACACTGTCTACGCTTTTTTGTAATATTTGAAAGTAGATGGATGAAAATCGAACATCTATTTTATAAAACTGAACTTTTTATTACTTTTAAAATCATGGATTTATTAAGAAAACAATTTGTATTTGGATCTTATTATTATTTTTTTTATTTTTAATGTCCTATTTTGTATCATATATTTATCTCAAATAATAAAAAAGTAATTTATTTTTATTTCTTTTCCTCTAAAATAAATGTTTATAATCCTATGTTGTATACAAATATTCAGTAAAAATCTATTTTCAACATTTCAGAAATATTGAGTATATTTTGATTTCTCTCTCGAGATACTCAATTCTGTTCGAAAAAATCGAAAAAAAAAAAAATAAATATTAAACATTAAAGATGTCTCTAAAAAGAATAATAGGCAAGAAAAAAATAAGAAAAAAAGACGTAATAACGTTTAAAGTTTTAAACGTGTCAATATTTGAAGTGAGTTTATAAATTTCTATCAAATCTTTCTTTTCGTTACCTGGTATTTTCTGCAAATACAATAATTGGTTGCAAGGTTGCAGATAAGATGGTACTACAGCAAGTAAGGGACTGTAGCGCTGTTTTACTAGCGTGTATATATATACGATTACGATGTAAAGGCCTCTTCAACGTTGTAAGCGATGTCAGCCGAAGATTGAAATCTCGCGGGGTGTCGTCTTCTCGAACCGATCCATCGATTTGCAGCCGCCGCGAACGAGCCCGAGAACAACGGGACGTGCGCGCTCCAATTCCAGTGCAATATCGGTACGAGATCTATCTTATCGGTAAGTTTTTTTTTTGTTTTTTTTTTCAAATTCACGAAGTGAATGCTATCAGTATAAGTAATCTCGACTCTACGCCACGAGTACGTTCACCCATCAGCACAACGCCGCGCTTACACTCAACATTCACCCTCGGACGCCGATCTCGGAGACGGCGGGAATCTCTCTCATCTTGCACGGATCCGCGGACCGTTACCGATGAGACAATACTGATGAGAGAAAGAGAGAGTCGTCGGAATAAAAATTTGGTGGTGGGAAATATCGAGCGTAAAGCCCAGGGGCTTGGGAACGATGTTCCACGATGATTAAAACGGAGCTCATGCTCAAGTCGCGGTTATATACCTCCGCATGGCGCACATGTACCCCCGCGACCTACTATTTATAGAACAAATACATAAAAACTTTGTAGAGAGAAAAAAGAGAGAGAGAGAGAGAGAGAGAGAGTAGTTTAGTTTTT